TTATGGCTGCAGTTGCCACGTACTCGCGAGCGCGACCTAAGAATCAAAGGAAGTGGACTTATTTTTCCATGTGGCGGTTTTTTGGAGTTACACGTGTCATTCAATTTTCCAGGAGAACGACAACTAGTGGAATCCGCGACAAAAAACCAAAACAGAACAAACTCTCGTAGATTTTCTGCTGTGAACGAGAAAACGAGGCTGATCGAAGTCAGTTAGCCAATCATTGTCCGACACGTCATAATCACTGATACGTGTTAAAATATTATGGAATCCATTGATATTTATTGTAGGACTGACTTTATCAAATCTAATATTATTTCACAAATTTTTTTATGTGATGCTTGTTTCCCATAACATTAAATGCAAAAATTATCGTATAGCACATTTTAAATATGAAATTTATTTTATTAAATTTATACAATTTTTATCAAAATTTTAAATAAATAATTTTAATATATATTTTTTCGTATATTTTCTATTGATATTTTATCTAAAATTATCAATTTTAATTTTTTAAAGAAAAAAGTTAGGGTTGTCAATTTTTTTTTTATTTTTTTTATTTTTTTTGCCGATCTTTTTTTAAAATTAAATAACAAAATTTTGAGCTCAATTTTCCACCTCCAATTTTCCAGTAGAAAAAACAAAAAGCAAAAAATAATTTGTTTCTTTCGGTAGTGATTGATCTTTAACTAAAATTTTCTTTTTATTTTTGTTTTGGTTTTATCCAATTTCAAACTTTAATATAATTCCTATAATCCTGTGCCTTCAATTTATTTTTTCACAGATAAAACAATCAAATTCCTCATCCAAACGAAAATCAACGGTGATCTAGTGATCCGATCCATCCCATCTGATGATTAGTTTCCAATCAAAGCATCAACCGCAATTCAATTTCTCAATTCTCCTCCCTTCCGATGCTTTCTTTATTATTTGCTTTAATTGCTTAAGATTTCACCTCAAATTTTCATCTTTCTTTTTTGTTTTTTCAATCAAAACCCTATATCCCCCTGTTTCCTTTTCCCAAAAAAAAAAAATTATTGGCTGATCGTAATAGGTTATTTTCGATAGAGGACTTACCATTAAAATTTTTCTTAATTTTTTATTTATTTTCTTATTTGGTTTGGTTTTTTTTTTTAACTAAAACTATTTTAAAGAAGTTTTGCTTATTTAAAAATAAATGAAATAAAAAAGGGTTTGAAATTTAATTTTTAAAAATCAATTTTGAGATAAGTTTTTTTTAACTATTGAAGAATTTTGTAATAAAATTTAATTTAAAATATTCTGAATCAATCCTATCAAATTATTAAAAAATTTAAATCTCAAGTTAAATAAGTTAAATTTTATTAAATTATTAAAAGATTTAATATTTTTTATAAAAAAATTCAATCCTACCAAATTATTGAAAATTTTAAATCTCAAAATTAAATCTTATCAAATTATTAAAAAATTTAATAATTCCTTAATAAATTTCAAATAAAAATTTCAATAAACTATTGCAGGATATGAATTGACATAAAATATTGTCAAATTATTGAAGAAATTTGTTTATTGTTTTTTAAAACAAAAATTATTTTTTTGAAAAATATATCAATGAATTCGATGATAGAATTTTTTTAGAATAAGACACTAATTTTTATAAATAATTCTAAGATAAAAAAATTTTCTTAAATTATTACAAAACTATAGAAATAATTTTAAAATTAATTTTTAATATTAAATTTATTCAATAAAATTATAAATAGATTTTAAAATTTGGATAACATAAAATTAATTTGTATTATTTTTTGGATAAATATTATTAGGGTGTTATAACATTCCCTTCACGTAAATTTACCCTTTTAAAAAATTTCAAATCAAGTTTGAGATTGTTTTTAAAAATGAGACAAATTCAGTAGAATTATCAATTATACTTAAATAAAAAAAAACGATGATAACTCCTTTTATTATGTCTAGTAATAAATTTATAGACTTATACATTATAACATCTCTTAAAGACATAATTATCATTAAAAAAAATACTATTCACATTTTAAAGTCAATTTTTTTTAATTTTATTTCTATTCTCTTATTTATTTTTCTATTAATAACTATAGTAATTGGTTTCAAAATATAATTATGTTTTGGTATTTAATTAAAAAATTAATTATAACAATTTGAAATGATTTATTGGTATGTACACACACATTTAAACAATTTGAAATGTCATGACAAATTCTGTTAATATATACTAGCAACATGTAGTTGAATGGATGAATATGCAACAAATTAATTTAAAAAGTCGAAAATGAAAATGAAATATTACGAAAAATTTATGACTATAACTAGGATTTAATGAAATAATATTTGAGTAAAATTGATACAATAGAAAAAACTTAATACACATGAGACTTGAAAATTTGACTCGAACTTTAGTTTAGTTTACTTCTACAATCATACCTCACTCTAAAAGGTAATCAAAATTTTCAAATTCAAGCTGGATTGTTGCTTAATTTTTCATATATTTTATATGCTATATGTGTAATCACACTCTTAAATATATTTTGAAAACGAAAAATCATTTCATTCACCGTCAATGAATTAGCTTTTACACTCTACAAATAGAGTTAGTAGGATGACACGTACAGCTGAATATCAAAACAATCAAATTGATAGTTTGATTATTCAAGTTAATTATTACTAACTAAGCTCAACTTGAGAACAAACAATACCAAACTGCTTGTGATTAAGCCAGCACCACTGCAACCTGCACTTACTTATCAGCTTTTAATTGATAAACAAATCTCACATATCTCATTTCTTAATTGGTAGCATATGGTATATATCTGTTTATATCAATCATTTTTCAGTCCATATCTAAACAATGTTATCCTCTCCTATATTTTGGTACTTATATATGAGAAAGTTTAATTAATAAGATATAAAATTGATATTGTGAATCTTAACCCAGTCTTGAATTGTTTTCAGTAATTTCTTTTTTATTGCAAGAACTAATTTTTTTTTAATAAAAAAAATTAATTCGAACCCAACTCTTTAAGTGAAAGATGCATGCAATAGAAAAATTATCACCCCAACAAGTTTCCTTCGCCCTTGTTCCATAGGTTGAGTTTATGATGGTTTTTCTAAAGACAAGAGAGGGATATAGGGAGTAAACTTCCTACATACTCCCTATATCCCTACCTCATACATTATATAAATGTATCTTTATATATATAAACACACATTTGTATGTATTGAAATTTGAATAGTTAATTTTTTATATATTTATAAGGAAGTTAATTATTTCAGAAACTCTCTTATTAAAATAATCATCGAAATTTTAATTTAGTGACTTTTTACATATGATATGATCAACGCGATTGAAGATAAAATCTTGATCAATTTTAATACTATATATAATCATTTCCAAGGCTTGAATTTAAACCCTAAACTTGATATGTTCTTAAATGGAATAACCATTGAACAATCTTGAAGATAATCCAAACTTATATATCCAATGAAAAAATCCAATATCACTCTCTTGGAAATTAATGTAAAGTGTTTGTTTTAAAGATGATGAACATATATATCAGATAAAAGAGGGAAAAATTCACATAGAGAAAAAGGAAAGGGGGGCAAGAAGAGACCTTGGTGGCAAACATAAGAACAGCAACTAAATCCCATATGTTTGCCTTTGTGTCTGTCTAGTCATGACTTGAATAGCATATTTTTTGGATTTAGTAACCATTCTTGTGTTCTTACTTTACTCCAACATTAAGTAGTGGAAAAGCAACTTTTTTAGATTTAGATGAGACCCTTTTCCTGTGATTCTTTGTTCATCATTTCCCCAATTATATATGAATTTCTTTTTTTTTTGCATACTTGTTTCTCCTAATTCACACAAAATTTGTACAAATGATAGAAGAATTTGTGAAAAAAAAAAGTAAAAACAATATTAAAAGCAACAATTGTCCTTTGATTAATTCTTAATAAACAAGCACCTTATTTGGTTAATATTTTTATGGAGGACCCCATAATAAATTATTTTTAGACATAATTTAAAGATTAATATGTGAAAAGGTCACTAAACCATTTCTTAGGACATGGACTTTTCAGGTGAAATTACTATTTACCAAATTTTGAAGTCCTTGAACTTTTTTGTATAAAGAAAAATACAATTTTTTAATATATAGTGTGATTAAAAGATTAAAAGAGTTCATTTTTTGTATATAGTGTGATGAATTTTTTTTTATTGAAGTTTGGTGTAATGAAATTTTTAATTTTATAAGTATATTAAAAAAATTATACTGTATATATTTTTAATTATATTAGTTTTTTAATATATATGTGAGAACGCACAAAATTCTAATTACAATCAAATTTACTAATAAAAAATCATATCCATTCAATTAAAATATTTAAAATAATATATATATTTATTATAAGTTAAAATTTCATGATTACAATTAAACTATATCAAAAATAAAAAATTACTCTAAAAAATCAAATCCATAAAATCAATTCACCAAGACTTTATTTGAATGGTAGATGAAATTGATTTTGATGAAATTAAAATTAATAATAAAAATTATTATAATTGTAATTAAAAAATTATTATAATTATGATTAAAAAAATTTTAATAAAAAAATTATATTGAATAAATTTATTAAAATTGATATTTAAATTTAACTAATGATAATAAATTTAATCACACTGCATAAAAAATGCGGTAGATTTCAAACCTAACTTTAAGAAGATCCAACATGTAAATTGTTAATTTTTTTTATTTAACGTGCCCTAGCCCTAATCCTCGTTCTTCGAATCAAGCCCTTCGTCATTAGGTCCAAAATCCCTCGTTTGAACCCACAATCAACGAACCAATATTCTATGATGTATGGCCGAACGATTAAAGCCAGCCCAATAGTCTAGGAATAGGACTCGAACGTCATATAGCAAATCAGTGATGGGTAAAACGGGTAATGCAGGGAAATTCTCTAGGGTTTTTGTTGTGAGCCTATATATATATATAATCGAATATAGTAGAGGCTAGGGTTTGGAGCTTGCTTCTTGTTCGTGTTTCCGCTCGGTGAAGAAGCTCTCCACAAACTTCAATCGAAAATGGTAAAACCCATGTTTCTTTTAACTAATCACCTTGGATCTCAGAAACTAATCTTGTTTTGATGCTCTGTCAATCCTGTGATTATTCATGCTTTAGATCCTTGTTTATGTTTTCATTTTCTGTTATTGGCTTCCTTGTCGCAGTTTTTTCAATTTTTCTATTCTTGATGAAGTTGGAACGTTATCTGAAGTGTAATAGAGATAGTAGAATTGTGATGAGTAGTAATTTCAGTAGATGGGTTATCTTTGTTTTGCATCATTGGAATGATTTTGGATGAATTATTTTTCATAGAATATATCAGTGCCACTAGTTAGCACAGATGTTTATTTTGAGTGAGTTGCATGAATTTTTTATGTAAACTGAAAATGTTTCTGTATAAAAGACTCCATTGTGTTCAGGTTCTGAATGTTCTAGGATCATGACCTTGTAGAAAAATTTTAATCATTGTACAAGTTTTTAACGTTTTTATTACAACTGGACCTATCAATTCGTGTATTCATGTAGTGTAAAACATTGGTTAATTTTAAACTTTGTCACTTTCATGTCTTATTTCGTATCATGCCAGTATGTTGTGTTTTAAATTGCCAGGTTTAATTACAACTCACTTGTCTGCTGTTTAAATCTTTTCTTGTTTATTTCTCGGTGATTTTCTCTGTATTAGTAGGTCCATCTTAGGAATTCTGGATGCATATAATATAATCGATGTCTTATGTTGTCTTGATTTCATTGTCAACAAAGGCCTTGCTTAAATAATGAGAAAAACTTTTAATCTTAGACTGATCAGTGGTAGTGAAGTGTGTTTGAAGCTGGGACAAAGTTAAAATATTTGCATATGTCTTTACTGCATCCCTGTTAAGTTATGACATGCTCATCTATTATATCTGATTATATTATCTTTGTTAAAGAATGTATGCGCTGTTTTCAAATCTTTAGTCGCAATTTGTGTATTCCTTCTTAGCGTGTTTATCAGCTTGGCAGTGTCACCTTTTCAATTTCTAATGGCTGTGATCTCTGCTTTATTTTCGAAGTTTCTATGTTAAATGAATGTTTTTTCATGTTGTGATGCACAGCCTAAGCAAATTCATGAGATCAAGGACTTCCTTCTCACTGCCAGAAGGAAAGATGCACGCTCTGTAAAAATCAAGAAGAGCAAAGATGTAGTCAAGTTCAAGGTCCGCTGCTCCAAGTACTTGTACACACTTTGTGTGTCTGATGCCGAGAAGGCCGACAAGTTAAAGCAGTCTCTCCCTCCAGGTAAAACTACACATGATTGAACCATCATCCCGTATTTGTACGTAACAAACAAAATGTAGAATTATAGATGGTAGATAAGTAGCAGAAACAAACTGTTGTTCTCAAGGTTCTTGGTCTTGGCCATTTTTCTCATTATTTTCATGTTTGCAGGTTTGAGTGTTCAAGACCTGTGAAAATAGGGCTGCTCCAAGTTTATCACCTGATTACTAGGGGATGAAAGCTAGATTTTAATTTTTGGTTTATTGTATTTCACGCCATTTTGCAACATTCAAAACTCAAAATTTTCTGTAATGGATTTTTATTTGGTGTTTTTATGGATATTATAAGGATAATATGCACTTTTATAATGGTTAATGAATATTTGTGCTTTCTTTTGTCATATTTCCTGTATCAATTCTAAGTATATTTTCAGAGGATGAGATTGATTACAATGAAATTAAAAATAATAAAAAAATTATTATATAATTGTAATTGAAAAAAAAATTTAATTAGAAATTTATACTGAAGAATGAATCTTACGGGGAATCTAATCACACTACCGGAAATGTGATTGAATCCATATGGGCACTTAATTTAAAAAAAAATGTGATTATCCTTAAATTTTGTTTATTCGATGTTTTTTTTTTGTAATAAAAGATTTTAAAGTTTCATGCAGCATATTTGATTTTGGGTTGGTTCATGCATTGGTTTAAGGTTTGATAATTTAAAATATATTATAATAATTTGATATCAAATGATACACAAAAAAATAAATATGATATGATTTAAAATTTTAATAAAAATTATAAATTTAATAAATTAAAAAATATATTGTATTTTCATATTAATATAAATTATAATATATAAATTTATTTAAAATATAATATAAATATATAAATTATATGACGAATTTTTAGATTTATTTTTAAATTTGATTCAAATATATTTATTAAGTCTAATTTTGAATTTGGTTCAAATGTATTTATCACTATGTCAAGTATATTATAACGAATCCTAACACTCGAATTAGGGAAGACCAAAAGAGTAATAAACTTTTCGCGATTTGAGTTTGGACTTGAAAGTTTTATTTATAAGGTAATTTTTTATAAAAGGAAATCAACTTTTTAGGAGAATTTCACCCTGCCAGAATGTTTTTTATTTATTTATCAAATTCATGAAGCTGTTTGCATGGACTTTTATAAAAGATTCTTTTTCTAAAATTTTCTTTTTTTTTCTTGAAACTCTCATTAAAATTATTTGTAAAATTGAATTATGTTTTCCACAATTTCCAGTTTTGGGTAATTCCTTTTTCAATTCTTCCATTCAAAAAAAAAATCATTTGGAAAAAGGGCTGCTTCATAAATATACACGTTTTATTTGTGCTTATTAATACTATTACGAATTTACCCCCAAATTTTCATAAAAGAAACGTCGAGTTTGTCTAATTTGAGATCTGATTGGTAATTATATGGACTTCCTTTTTTGCTTTTTTTAATTATTTAATATTTAATAAAAATGTTGAAATTTCTCACACTCCGTTTTGTACTCTCGTCTTTTTTCATTGCCAACAAATTTCGGAATTGCTGCCTCTGATTAGATCCTTCGATTCGTGAGGGGAAGAACCCTAGCCAGCTCCAGAAGGTACTAACGAAGCCTTAATCTTTTCTTTAAGCTGTTTGGTTACCTAGAAAATCTTCAAGAATATTGAAAGATATCTGTTCAAAATTTTAAATTTCCTTTTGCTTCTCTCTGTGAATCTTAGGTTAGTATTAGTGAACCAAGTTGATATGAACTAAAGTTAATAGTGGCTCGTAATCGTACAGTGAAGTAAATTGATGAATTTTCTTTTTCATCTTAAGGATTTGAATTCTTTTTCCCGTTTTTCGGATTTCTTCTAGCTAGGTTTTTCCTTCTTAATTTCTTTTTTTAAAGTGGTGTTTAATCATTAATGCAACAGTGCGGAGTCACCTGATTTTCTTTTTTTTCCAGTGTAATTGGTGGTATTTTAAGTATTTGATTGAGCTTCGATTTTGTTTTATTCAAAGAAATGGGTTCTTCTTTTAACTTATGGAATTTCATTTGTGTTGCCTTTTCAGTTAACGGAAGCCTTAGCTGCTGTAGATTTGGAGAGAAATTTTTTTGTTTCATTCTGTATTTAGGTAAAGGGGATAGTATTTATAGCATTTTGTTCACTGTAATATTCATTGCCTTTAGCTTCAAATTTTCTGAAAATGTTTGGAACTACTTCAGTCAAGATTTCAACATGCCCGTCTATGCTATCTTCTACTTTGACCACCATCCCACAGTCTTCGCCGAAAATTTTGCCATATCTTTCACCAAAACCAAGAACAAGGCTGACAAAAGTTAGAGCTATGTCTGCTAGTACCGAGCATACCCCACCATCTGCTTCTCCAGAGAAAAATAATCTACTTGCAGTTTTTTTAGATGTTCCTCAGAAAATTTGGAAGCAAACATTGCGTCCACTGAGTGATTTTGGGTTTGGTCGTAGAAGCATTTGGGAAGGTGGGGTTGGGTTGTTTCTTGTGTCTGGTACAGTACTTCTTGCACTTAGTCTGGCTTGGTTGAGGGGGTTTCAGATACGTTCTAAATTCCGGAAGTACTTGGCGGTGTTTGAATTTGCTCAGGCATCTGGTATTTGCACTGGAACACCTGTAAGGATTAGAGGGGTGACTGTAGGCAATGTTGTACGTGTTAATCCCTCCTTGAAAAGTATTGAAGCAGTTGTTGAGGTATGTTTCAGTGTAATGATTTTGCTGTAATGTTTTGTTTTGGTTTATTTATGCACCAATATTGCTGCCCTCATTCATAGGTTGAAGATGATAAGATTATTATACCTCAAAATTCACTTATTGAGGTGAACCAATCTGGTCTTCTGATGGAAACTTTGATTGACATCACACCTCGGGATCCAATCCCAACACCATCGGTGGGACCTCTTGACACTGACTGTATTAAGGAAGGCCTAATTGTATGTGATAGGCAAAAGATAAAGGGACAACAAGGGGTAAGTCTGGATGCATTGGTAGGGATAGTCACCCGTCTTGCTCGTCAAATGGAAGAAATTGGTATTGCCAACACTTATTCACTTGCTGAACGAGTTGCTGCTGTTATTGAGGACGCAAAGCCCCTGCTCACAAGGGTGTGACATGCCTTGTTACATTTTTTGTCTTATTGATAAGATTTGTTTTTCTAAACTGTATTCCTGAAAGTTCTATTAAGCCCAAAAAGAAGTGCATTTCGTCTGCTACATTAATCTTTTTTCTGTGAGTTCTGTTGGTTGGGAAGGGATCAGAAAAAAAAAGTAAAATATTAGCTTAAAATTGTTATGTACTTATGTTAGCATCAAAACCTATTAAATTTTCTTGGTAGAGTTAAAAATAAAGAAATACTTTTTTTAGTATTTGCTTTAGCAAGCACACTTCTGAAGGAAAAACTACATAAAGGTAAAAGGTTTGAGATCATATTAGTGATTTAACATGGAGAGCATTGTTTGGCATCCATGATCATGTAGTGTTGGAATTTCCTCATTGAATTAGATCCCGGAAATTGCTCAAAGTCATTGTTTGGTTTCCTTGTATGGTTTATGCCTGTTTTTCCCTGCTGTCTAACTGACTGCATAAACATTTCAAACTGAAGTTGGGATGGATTCTCATGCTCAGAATTTTGAATTTGATGTAGTGATGTTTCAGATTGAAGCCATGGCTGAAGATGTGCAACCTTTGTTGTCTGAGGTTCGTGATAGTGGTCTGCTTAAGGAAGTTGAGAATTTGACCAGAAGCCTAACGCAAGCCTCTGAGGATTTAAGGTGATTTCTTTATTCTCCCTCGTTAATAATTTTATTGAGATATGCTTATCACAAACTGCGTTACAGTCACATCTTAAATTTATAGCCTTACAACTATAATTCCTTTCTGTGCAGAAGGGTGCAGTCATCTGTTATGACCACTGAGAACACTGAATTGCTTCAAAAATCAATTTATAGTCTGATTTTTACATTGAAGAATATTGAGGTAAGTTTTGACTTACCAACTACTAGCACTCCTTTTAACAGAAAGAACTCAATTTTTTTTATTTAAATGTTAAATTCACACCTGTCCTGCCTCTCTTTCTTCATTGACCATTGCAGAATATAAGTTCCGATATAATGGGATTCACGGGTGATGAGTCCACAAGAAAGAATCTAAAATCACTTATCAAGTCTCTCAGCAGGCTATTATAGGGGGAGAAATTGATTAGGAAGTCCAAACCAAAAGCTGGTTTGTCTATTCCATTATTAATTTCCATTACAATTTCTTAGAGAATCTTGATGCTTAAGATATTTGTTACATACCTTTTCCTGCTGGAAATGCCAATTGAATTTTGTCAATCGGTTTGCTTTGCCATAATTAGGAGTTGCAGTGGCTTTTAGCAACAGTTGCTAATATAGAATATTGATTTTAAGTAGAAAACATTCTTGAGGCATCTGGTTACAGGGTTGAAATAAGTACATTTCAACATTGTACAACTTTTGCATAAGTGGAAACCCTGTCTTTCCCTGTCTTGTTGACTTCATTGAAATACTATCCTTTTGTCAGAAACAAAGTATAATAGTTTTCCATTAATTTACTATGCTTTTGATGGATCTTTTGAAACTATTAAATGAATACTACATTCCCTTTTCTTTTCCCCTTTTTGCTCCACAGCCTGAGTTTCCTGCAAGCTTATGCAGAATTATCAGAATCTTAAGATCTCACATTTTCCTCCTTTAAATTAATGTGCTCGAAAATAAAAATCAAAATAAAAGAAAATTGGTATTTTACAGAGCTTGGATTCGTATTTTAGGTTGTAACTGATGTTTTGAGAGCAAAATCTGAGCTAAAAGATAGATGAACAGTGACAAACTACCATTTTACAATTGATATTTCAACGTGTGAGCTTGGAATATTTTATAAGATAGAAAAACGTTAATGCTACATTTCACGTGGTATAAATTTTTAATAGAAAATGTTATATTTTGTAAACTAAATTCAAACCTTTTTTTTTTTTTATAAATTTGGAACAATGTGGTTTGGTATGAAATATAAAATCATATATATTACCAAAAAAGAAATAGAAGACCATAAAAAAAATTGTCCCATTGAGCTGTTCTTACTTATCAAATGATTAAAAAATTTATGGCATATTAAAAAAACTTGAATTCGAGTTTAAATAATTTTTAATTAAATTAAATGATTAAAAATTTATGACATATTCAAGGTTTTTATTTGAAATTGCTCTTTTTTTTTTTTTTTGGTGTTTCGTAATTGGGAACAATTTTGTAAGAAAATCATAATTAGGTAATCAGTCAGTAATCTTTATGTCAGCCAAAGGATTAAGGGTTGGCAATTATTAGGATTGAAAAAGTGAATTTTAGTGCTTTGCAAGTGAAAAAACCATTTCCATGGAAGTTAAATCTAGTTGGTGAATAGTCTTACCAAAAAAAAAAGCACTTGGGGTTCTCTTCTTCCTCAAGATAAAATTCTTAGGTAAACAACTGTGATTTTTTAATAATGTTAATTATTATCATTATCTAAGCTCAAGTATCCAATGTTTTTCTACAAAATCTTCCACAAAAAAGTAGATGTTCTTCATTATTTATATTCCACATCGATGAAAACAAGAAGGGATTTTGAGTAGCTATTTACTTGTGTGTATGTACGTAATACTGCAGCAATGAAGTTCTGCAAATGAAAATTTGATATTATATAGTGTTTGGTAGAACAGAAAGAGGAAGTAGCTGGCGTAAAATCCATCTTTTTCTTCATCTTACATGAGAATTTTTTTTTTAAATGTGAATTTGAAATATTTTTATAATATGATAAAAAAAATCCTTAAATTTTAAATGAACTTAATTCTTTTCTTAAACAATTTAAAATTAAATAATTTAAAATTTTTTTATATCGATTCAATATAAGGTTATGTTCCAATAAAAATTGCTGATTATGATGATGGTTCACCATATAATACTGTGTTTACTGTAAAATTGATGTTTTATATGATTTAAAGGTATTAACATGATAATTTAAATTATAATATAATAATATGATATAAAAATAATATAAATGTAATTTAGTTTAAAATTTTAATAAAAAAATTATATATAAATTTAATAAAATTAAAAAATATATTTTGTAATTTTGTATTTAACATAAATTATAATATATAATTTTTTACATAATTTTTATATAAAATATAATATAAATATATAAATTATTAATATTTTTTACTACATAAATATAAAAATTTCAGAATCCAATACTGCAATTACAATGAAAGACTAGATGATAGATGTAGTACTAAAGTTTTTGACTTGGGAATGTCAAAAAGAGTATCAAAGAGAGCTGATACATTGAAGTGTAAAATATATATTAATATTCGTAAATTATTCGAATTAAATTTAAACAAAATTTAAATTCAGTTCGATTATTATTGAGTCGAGTTTAAGTTTGAATAGTTTAATTTATTGATCAAGTCGAGTTCAAATATTTTTATATTCGATTCAAATAACTCGTGATCTAATTAAATTTTTATATTGAATATATTTTTATTATTTTAATTAATAAAATATCTCAAACTCAAACTTAAACGTAAACATAAATAATTAAATTTTTATCGAATATAAAAATCGAGTTTATTTTTATATATTAATCAAATATAATTTAACAAGTTTTAATAATTTGATTTTTATCTCAAATTGAGTTTGAATTAAAACAAAAATTTTGATCGAGTTCAAGTCAACTTTTGTATCTCGAATTTCGAATCAAACTTGAATTTAACTTAATATTATATTGATTTCAACTCAATCAATTATATTTTTATTATTGCAAGATTGCTTACAAATTCAACACATTATTTGGAAAAGGATGAATTGCTAAAAATGTTGTAGGAAACTAAATTAAGAAATAAATACCCCTAATATTAAATAAAATTATTATTATAAAATTAAAAACAAAATAAAAGTTTCAAAACCTTTGATTTAATGATTAAAAATATTTAAGAAAGTATTAAAGGTCTGAGTCAGACTTTCTACTAAAATTTTGCGTAAAAAAAAAAATTATATTGGATGTGACAACTGTTTTTGAGGTAACCAACAAGCCATTGCCTTGTTCTTACAACCCTCATTGCTGTGCACATGCAACCTTTTGTGTAAAATAAAATAACATTTCCATTAATCAAATTATTATTATTATTAAAATAAAAACCTTCACCATATCCAAAAAAAATTTGAAAATATTATTAAAAAATAGCTTATAGACGAATTTTTATGGATAACTTAGTCTCTCTGCCAAGATTCCTATTTAGTTCTCACACACAAAAAAAAAATCTAAATATATATATTTTTTGTAAAAAATATTTAAGATAAATAAATACTTAAAATTTTTTAATAAAATAAAATATGATATAATAAATTCTGATTAATTTTTAAAATTTCACAAATAAAATAAAAAAATCATCATGTCTCATTTTTAATAGTTGGTTTTAAACTTTAGGAGCATGTATAAAATAATTTTTTTATAAATATAATAATCATATAAATTTTAATATTTTTTTTGCTATTGACATAAACAACTTAGTATTAATTGAACTCATTCCATTCATAAAAAAAAATTCACCTTATTTAAAAACTGAAATAGTGCTAATTAAAAAACTTTAAATGAATTTATAAATAACATATTCTGTCTGCCATGATTCCTATTCAGTTAGGAATTCTTGCAACCTACTTTGCGTCATCTAGCTCAAAACAGAAAAAAAAAAAAAATCTTTGTGCATGTGTTCCAAGTTTTGCATTCATGGTATGCCTGTGCAGGTGTGTCAGACTCTAACCCATATTTCTATCTCTCTCTCATTTCTTTCTCTTTTTTTTTTAACCTTTTTTCTGTTTCCTGCAAAGTTTCAGCAACCCATTCTCAAGCTTTGTATTTTCTCCTATCTTCTTCCTTAAAAAGTAACCTTTCTAAACTCTAGCTGGCGGGTTGAGTTGTATCATGTGACTTAAAACCAACCCATAGTTTTTCAATTTTGCATTTCATTTCCATTTCCATTCTGGGTTTTGGAAAGCCAATGGTTTGTCTGATGATATTGGAGGGGGTTTTCTCTATAAACTGCCAAGGGCACTTCATTATTTATTAGTTTCGTCCTTTTCTTATCTGGGTTAGTGCATTTTTATAGTAATTTTTTTCTCCTTTGTTCTTTCCAAGTTGTACTACCATTTTCGTTGTTACTACTAATTTTGGATACATCTCATTTAATTAAAATTAAGGGGTCTATGATTAATGTGTTTTTTGTTAATAAATCTCTTCTGGGTTGTTATCTAACCTGTTGTTTTCCTTCTCTTTATTTGTTAAACTAATACTAAAGAGCCCAAAAAAGCTGCAGCAAAGCAACCACAGTGATCTGAATCTTGTACAATTTATTTCTCGTTAAGTCTTTTTATGGTAACAAATACCATTCTTCCATTTATATCTGTTGTCAAATTTCTTATCTTTGATTTTTATTCCTTGTTTCAAGTTTGGTTTTTTTTTTTGGGAAAGCTACTGTTTTTCTTAATCTGGGTATTGACCAAAATTTTTTATTTTTCAGTTTCTTTCATTCAACGTCTCTGTTATTTTCTCATACAGAATCTTTGAGTTCGTTTATCTGGGGTTTTTGTTCTAAGAATAATGTAATTGGAGGCACCCAAAATGGCAAATCTTGTTCCAGGGGTCCTTCTGAAGCTTTTACAACATATGAACACAGACGTGAAGGTTGCTGGTGAGCACCGGTCATCTCTATTGCAAGTAGTGAGTATAGTTCCTGCACTAGCAGGAGGTGAGCTATTCTCTAACAAAGGCTTTTACCTGAAGGTTTCAGATTCATCTCATGCTACATATGTATCATTGCCTGATGAACATGATGATTTAATTCTTAGTGACAAGATCCAATTAGGTCAGTTTATTCATGTTGACCGGTTAGAATCTGTTTCTCCGGTCCCCATTCTTCGTGGGGTTAGGCCAATACCTGGGCGGCACCCTTGTGTAGGGAGCCCTGAGGATATTGTTGTAACTCATTCCCACGGGTTCCTTAATAATGGTAGTAAAAGTGCCTTGGGTTCAAAATCTGGAGAGAAAGTTAAGTCACCATCAAAAGCAGTGTTAGGTGGTGGTCATAGTGGAGAAAAAGAGAAATCTGTTGGGAGTAGATCAAATGTTGGTGCAAAGGAAGATCAATTGGGTAAGAAAATGGCTTCTTTGATTAGATCAAAGTCTCAATTGACTAAACCAGCATTGAGTTTGGATATTAAGAAGGCATCTTTGGGGAAATTGAAGGCACAAAGTTTGCAGTCAATACCTTTTTCCCCCGCAAGTTGTTACTCATTGCCAACTTCATTTGAGAAGTTTGCCACTGGGATTAAGCAGCAGGCAGAAATAAAGAGGCTGAGGAAGGGAAGTCCCAAGGTGGGATCTGTGGAGAAGGGAAGTCATTTTCATGGGGTGAGTCCAACTGAGAAAAAAGCACCTGTGATCAAAACTTTGGTTCAAGGGATTGAATTAGGGGCTAAGGCTTTAAGAAAGAGATGGGAAAGGAATATGGAATCGAAGGGTAGGGACCATTCAAAACTTAGGGCTACCAAGCATGACACCATGCAAGAATCTCGGAGCATTTCTGTAAGTTTCTTGTTCTTGACTTTTAATTTGGCTAATCTGTTGCTTCTAACTGAGTAAAGCATAAGGAAGTTTAGAATACGAGATAATAAAAAATATTTGGTTCCTTTGTCTTACATCAGTTTTTACTGTTTTATATGAGTTGTTCAAATTTTGGACCGGTATTTCTTGAAGGATATAATTTATGTTGATGTTGAACTCTGGTTTCGGTTTAGGATGTGGCATACATGTGTGACATGGTTCTGTTTGATTTGTTGTTAGTTTTTCCCGTTATTTGGAGCTAGATTGTCCATATTGAAGTGCTTGATATGTGTTTGACATGTACATTGGACAAGTGGAAAAGTTTAAGCAATGCAGATTCATTCAATCTATTTTTGGGAATTTGATTAAAAGAGTTTAAGTATTGAATATGATTTCTGCTTTATCTCATAGTTTTCATAGTTTTCTTTCTTTCTTTTTTTTGTTTTAAAGCCATTTTTCCCTTTCTTCTTTATAATTAAAATATGATGCCAGGCTCCTAGAAAGAGCACATCAAGCAAAAAGTTGCTGTCCAGGGAGGAGAATAAGCTCCAGACATCTACCAGGTCCTTAAAAAAGGAGAGTAAATCTCTGTTGTCAACTAAGAAAGTCTTATCAATTGGAATGTTGGATGATCAAGAGACACCAAATAAGCCAAGAACTTATGTTGGGAAGAATTCTGGAGAACTAACTAATAATGGTACCCTGGGGAAGTTGGTTAAGTTTCCAATAAATGGTAAAAGATTGACAGATGGAAGTGTTTCATGGGATTTGCTACCCTCTTCTCTTTCAAAGCTTGGCAAGGTATGAACCTATGACTCTTTGCATCTTGAAAACATTCTTTGTTTTTATCTGAATGTCTCTTTCCCTTCGGCATTGCCTTTCAGAATTTTATCTTGAACTGATGCTTATGAAGGATCTTTACATGATAATTTGATTTTTTTTTTTAAACTGTCTCTAGGCTATGTGGTTAACAATCAACATTTTGCATGCTTACGAGATCCATTAATCAATACATAAGGGTCATAGCTTGTCATTAATAGTTTATAGTGCTTGTATTGACTGTTTATTTCACACTCTGGCATTCTGAATTCACAGTTGTTTAAGTGATTCTCATGTCAAATTTGTATTTGTTGTTACAGGAGGTCATGAAACATAGGGATGCAGCACAAACAGCAGCAATAGAAGCTCTACAAGAGGCTGCTGCTTCAGAGAGTTTACTTCATTGTTTAAGGTATGACTATTTAACAATAAAAGAAATGTTAGCAAGGAAAATGATATGAATTGACAGTAAAAGCTAAGTCTCTCTTAATTTCAAAACTAGGAAAGATTAAATATTTCAGATGTCTGGACTTTGATTCTCCATAATACCTTGGTCAAACTTTTTAATGTTGTATACAATTTGTAGAATCTTAAAAATTACAGGTCTAACTCTGAACAATCTCCGTGTGTTAACTTATGTTTGTTATTGAAACCTGTAGAATGTGTTAACTACAATATTGTCCATCAAGTTAGAATTACCACAAAAGAAAATTTACAGAGAGTTCACCAGAAAATTTTCAAGCTATACATTGCTTGATCCTATCAACTATTAAGTGATATAATAGTTTATAAATTGAAGTCCTAAAACTGATTCCAAGGGGTTATGGATGGCTGGACTTGAGGGGATGGCTTTAGATCCTTCAAACAGATTAGTGCACCTCTTAGCATTGTGGAGCCTGTTGGAGATATTTTGTTGCGTAGCTGTAGATCTAGTCGTGAGCCAGATTCTGTTGTTGCCGGTGTATTAGTCACTGTAAGCTATGTAGATAAACCGATGCTGACTTGGTAGAATAATATAATCCAAATAAATTTAATGAAGCCGCAAGCAAAACTGATGAAAATGAAAGCATATTGCAGCTTAATAAAAGACACTGGTGGATGCTGGGGAATTGTTACTTCTAGATATCTGTTAAAAATAAAAAACGAATTTGGGGTGGGGAGAGAGATGCGTGACAGCTTTGATGAAACTGTAAGTAGAATTGTGGGATAAAAGTAATGTGTGCTAGAAAGTTGAACCGTTGTAGATTTTTTGGTCGTATTTAATGATATATTTCATGATGTTTCCTGATCTATTGTAGTACATCTATAACTGATTGTTCTTTGCTTTCTTATATGACATATTTGGTATACTATTTTTTCTTGTAGCTTATATTCTGATCTGACTACGGCTGCTAACAAAGACAACCCTCAGCCTGCGGTTGATCAGTTCTTGACCCTCCATGCTAGCTTGAATAATGCTCGCATGACTGCAGATTCTTTATCAAAAACTATTCATATCAGTTCATCTCCAGAATCCGAAGGAAACCCATCAGAAGAGGCAGTAAAGCTCACATCGGATAGACGGAAACATGCAGCCTCATGGGTGCAAGCTGCATTGGCTACTAATCTATCATCCTTCTCTGTATTTATCGAAGAACATAATTCAATGCTGAGTCATGCTTCAGCTTCTGCACAAAGCCAGAAGACTATCCCTGCCAAGCAAAACATATTAACCATAGAAAATTCTGCTAAGAATGCTTCTGCAAAAGCCCAAGGGAAAACCCGTTCAGTAGTTGGCTCTAAGCTTGTAGCACAGGGTGTTCTTCGGAAAGCAAGCAAAGGTTCAGGCCTCAGTCCGAAGGCACAGGTCCAACCACCACCAGAATGGACAAGCGGAAATGGCCTTAATGAGGCTGTTGACTTGGCTGAAATGCTGCGAATCGAATCCCAGGATTGGTTCTTAGGATTCGTGGAGAAATTCTTGGATGCTGATGCGGACACATCGGCTTTATCAGACAATGGTCAAATAGCTGGGATATTGACAGAGCTCAAGAGTGTCAATGACTGGTTAGATGAAATTAGTTCGAGCAAAGATGAAAGAGAGACGCCCCAAGTTTCATCAGAGACAGTTGATCATCTAAGGAAGAAAATATACGAGTATCTTCTTACACATGTTGAATCTGCTGCTGCTGCTCTAGGTGGTGGGTCACAGTCGTCACCACCCAACCAAACAGCTGAAACATGAAATGCATACATGCAGTGCGTTGATGCACAGTAGTTAGGCGAGGAGCTTACAATTTTAGCATTATGTATATAAATCCTACATGGGTTTTGAGGTATAGATACAAAGTGCAGTTATTTTGTTTTTTTTTTTTCCTTGGAAACAAAAAAAAAAAAAGATCACATTGGTATTTGTTGCCTGAAATTATACAAAAGAAAACTGTCATGAAGAGTTGGGAGGTGAGATTTTCCTCTATCCAACTTGAATATGTATCTTTCAAAATTCACTTAAGAATCCAACTTTAATATCCAATTCAAGAATTCGGTGGTATTTTAACACGTTTGAATTCAACTTTTCTTTCTATTTCAAAATTGCAATCTCTTTTATAAAAAAAAAATTGTGGATAGAATTTTAGGAAAATGATAATAATTTTTGTAATTTGCTATTATAAATATAAAACGTTATAAAAATTTCTATTAAGTTAGGAAATTTATGTAACTTCTCAATTTTTTTCTTTCTACAAATTAAGATTAAATAACCCATCCAAACATATTGTTCAAGTTTTTTATGCATTTTTTTTCAAAAAATTAGGTTTGAATTAAAAATTAAAAGAATAAAAAATAAGTTAATTTATTTCAAAATTTTAACAAATTTTTAAAACTCATAAGTTCCATTATTTTGTTAAGAAAGAAATACTATTAAATTCAATTGAGAGTTTCTAATAGATATCAACATGTACCAAAAATTAAAAGAAAAAAAAAAAGGGAGGGAGGGATAACTAGGAAAACATGATAACCGTTGGGATATTTCTGTAAATATAAGTATAATTGAGGGCTTAAATGATATATCTTTTGTCTGCATTAAAATAAAAAAATAGTTTTTTTTTTTTTTTTGAATTAGTAAAAGAAATATCATAAAGAAGAAGTGAATGGAGGGTCGGAGTCGCTCACTGGAACTTTGTTTTCTTTCTTTGAGATCAAAACTCCTAAAAAAGAAAGCCATTTTAACGAGTTAAAATCCTTACTGGAAATGGGAGAACTCACCGCCAAACAGTCGCTTCTCCTTTTCGTTTTCCTTTTTCTTCACTCTCTCCTCTTTGATTTCGCTTTCTCTGAAATTTTCTTCGAAGAACGCTTCGAAGGTAAAAAATAAATAAATAAATAAATGTTTAGTAATATTTAAATAAAAATATCATTCAACATTTTTTCTTCTGTTTTATCTTCTATAACTTCTTTCTTTTGTTCTTTTGGTGATAGAAAGAAGCTTCTAGATGGTAGTGATAAAAAAGAAGGTTCTGGAAGTTTTGGTCAAACACTTTGACTGTGATTTATAGTACTAGTAGTTATCAATGAATGAATGTTGTGTTTTTCAATTATTTGAATTGAGTTATTTGAAGTAAAATGTGATTGCTTATGAATGTTTTCTTTTTTTTTTTTTTGAAATTTGGAAACAGATGGGTGGAAGAGCAGATGGGTGTTATCAGATTGGAAGAGAAGTGAGGGAAAAGCCGGTACCTTTAAACACACGGCCGGCAAATGGTCCGGTGATCCTGATGATAAAGGTATTGTTTTCTTATTATGCATTTTTATACATATTTACTAAGATTTTAGATGTTTAAATGCTCAAAAATATATATATATATGATGAATTAATGGTGAAGCGTAGTAATTTAAGATAAAAGATGCACCTTTATAGAATCATACATTTGCTTGTTTCTCGTGTGTTTTAGCTTTTGGTGTTACTCTTCGCCATTTAAGACTGTTTGAGTAGAATTGATGGGATGTTCAAGGCTTAGAAGTGAAGCTTTGAATTGTGAAAGGGTGTTAAGTTGGTAGTGAATCTCATAACCGTGCCCAAAAAAAGCCATAGCTTACTGTGAATTATGTCTTCAATCACTTATATCTGCAAATTCTCATGTAATTGGATAGAAACTGTAACTATTTTGTTAAGGTGATGACACAACAGTTATTAGTTCCTTTTTTTGTTCCCAGTGAGCTATTTATTGTCTGTAATTTTACTTCTAAACTGTTGGCCACGAAAAAACTTGATGTGCAGAAATCATGAATGATGAAAGTTGTGAAATTTGTGAACTTGGATGAACTTTGATGATGGTAACATCTGGTTATGCAATTCTATTGGACAATGTATGAATTTTCAGCTAGGCATCCCAAATTTACCACCCAAAGTTGAATTGTTCCGAATTGACTGTTTTCTATCAGGTTTTTTTTTTTTTTAATTATAAATTGTATGGTTTTCGGTAGACATTACTAGCAATTGTCATTTGTTCAGATGGATTTGTGTTTGACTAATTAGGTGTAAAATAAGAATGTCTAAAAATCTAATGCTAAATGGAACACAGTTACTCTACAGGAGCCACCAGGCCTATATGAAAATTAGCTGAGAATATCCATTAATACACTGGCATAAACTTTGTCAGTCTTTTTCCTGGTTATTCAAAAGGCTAACCTGATTAGAGTCTCTGTGTGTCTATTGTATGTGGAAAAGCATTCCTGATTGTAGCTGAGTTTTATGCTTGGAAATCGTGCAGGTATTCAGACATATAATGATGCCAAACATTATACTATCTCTGCTAAGATACCAGAGTTCAGCAACAAGAACAGAACTCTAGTGGTTCAGTATTCTATTAAGTTTGAACAAGACATTGAATGTGGTGGTGGTTACATTAAGCTTCTCTCTGGTTATGTAAACCAGAAGAAATTTGGTGGCGACACTCCTTACAGGTCTGGCAATTTGTTTAATCTTATAAATTTCTCTCCAGTGACAAATTCATATTACTACATCTTAGATAATCACCATGCAAATCTAGACTAGACTAAGATGACTGAGATAATTAGTTATCTACAACAGATATGCAGACTGTTTACCTGTATTTTGGTTTTTCAAAGATAGGTGGAGGATATAAAGCAACGTAGAAGTTGACTTAGTGAAGAATGATGATATAAAAATATCTTATGTTTTATGTCAGTCATTTTTATTGCTTTTTTCTGTATATTTTGGTATCACATCATTTTGTGGTTTTAGATTGCATCTTTTACCTGTCCTGTTGGAGACATTTGCCTTTGTTGAGTTGTTATTGATGGCTTTCAAGGCTTGTCTCATATTACCTTAAACATTAGCTGATTGGTCTTTTGCCTTGGTGCAGTTTGATGTTTGGACCAGATATTTGTGGCTCGCAAACCAAAAAGCTCCATCTTATACTATCCTACCAGGGACAGAATTATCCTATTAAAAAGGATTTAGAATGTGAAACAGACAAGCTCACTCACTTTTATACATTTATTCTAAGGCCTGATGCCTCTTATAGCATCCTAGTTGATAATAGAGAGAGAGAATCTGGAAGCATGTATACTGATTGGGATATCCTTCCTCCACGGAAAATCAAGGATTTTAAAGCCAAAAAGGTAGGACCCCAAGAGTCAACATGGGTATTCACGGACAGACAGGAACATGATATCTGATATGATGCATCAATACTCTACCTGTATTTTTTAAATTTAATTTTAAGAACTTTTTCATGCAAAAGACCTTGAAGAAGCATTGATTTGTACAAGTTATTATCATGAAAGAATCAGAATTTCCCGTTTTTATTTTTAATTTGCTGGTGTTTTATAGCCTAATTACCTGTTGCCACCAAAAAATGCACTCACTTTCATTCTTTTTCCAGCCTGTAGACTGGGATGATAGAGAATACATTGACGATCCTAATGATGTTAAACCTGAGGTAGCATGTGCTGCTTATCTTTTCGAAATGTGATGTCTGAAACGATTTTATGATTACTATGAACTAAACACTTCTATTATATGGTTGAATGCAGGGATATGATTCAATTCCTGCTGAGATTCCAGATCCAAAGGCAAAAGAGGTTTGTACTCATTATTTAACGTCCAAAGGTCTCACTTTCAGATGCCCAAAACAGTTTCAAGATGATATAATTTGGACCCATTACATATTCCTTTTCTTTTGTTTAAACATGATGCCTCTCAATTAATCATGTGTTTAGCCTTTCTTTTTCCCCTTGAAGGATGGTAATTGAGCTTTAATTTGCTACTTGATATGCTTTCAATGATAAGAAGTTCCTTTCTTTACATGCTTTGACTTTGTTCATATAGCCTGATGACTGGGACGACGAAGAGGATGGTATTTGGAAGCCACCTAAGATCCCAAATCCAGCATACAAAGGACCGTGGAAGCGTAAGGTGCTTTCAAGCTACTAATATTACATTGAATGCTAAATCTCTGCTGCAGTTCTAACTTTTGCATCCCTTCTGCAGAAAATCAAGAATCCCAACTACAAGGGAAAGTGGAAGACTCCATGGATTGATAACCCAGGTATGTCTTTTCCGCTAAATGTCAGTAGCTTGATGGTGGAATTACACATTTGAAATTAGAGCATGAGCAGGGGACTTTAACTTGTCGGAAATGCTTGAATATAGTCTATAAGTAGTCATTGAACCGCAGTCCAAACTACTCTTTGCTTATCTAAACATTGGCCTATCAAAGATTGGAAAATAAATTTTTTCTTTGAATTTTTGTCTAAAGAGAGACTGGGAGGGAGGGAAAAAAGACCTCCAAGTTTCAGTGCAGACATTTCTGATATGCTTTTCAGATGAGTTTTGATGTATTCATGCATATTTTATTGATTCCTGTCTTCAGTCCAATGTGAACTTATACTGTCTAATTTCATTATTCATTTTTTGCTTCCATTTTCTGTTCTTCTTTAGAGTTTGAAGATGATCCAGATCTTTATGTGCTGAAACCAATAAAATATGTGGGTATTGAAGTCTGGCAGGTAAGCTGTAAGCATCAAACTTTTCTTCATATTCTTCTAGTGGTTGAAGATAGAACTTTTCTTTTCAGGGACAAAAGAAATAATACTGTTGTTCCAAAAACTGACTACCAGCAATAGTATTTCTTTTGTCGAAAGAGTTTATTGAGTGACATGTTAATGAGGTCAATAATATATCTATTGTTACACTCAACAGTCAACATATTAAGTTCTTGTTCTGAACTAAGTCGGGTTGGATGTGTGGATTATTTCCACTGATTCCACCCAATGCATGCTCATGCTCTTTGTAAGATTATCAGACAGCAATTTTTTTGCTTGCTTTAATCAGTTTTACTGGCAGATGCATATTGCGTCACTTTTCCAAGGAGCTAGTTTGTTTTAGCCAGTGTTGTGCTGGTATCCAAATGTACCATAAAAGACAGTGAACCTTTTCTACTATTTTGGCTTGTGTTTTTAGTCTAAGCTTGTCATCAACTTCCACCACCCTCCTTGAGTGGTTTTCAATATTAACAATGCCACATCCCTATGCACAAGCATACCATTTTAGGCCCTATTGTCTCTATTTCCTCTTGGTCAGTGTCACTTGTACATTTCTACAGATTAATGTTTTTTAGTTAAATTATGCTTTTGCAGCATCAATCTCAGTTTTATTCACATTCATTTTAAATTTGTTCCTATATTTTTGAAACTTGGTACTATAATGCTTAACTAATTGAGCATATCATGCAATGAAATATTTAATATTTTAAGACATTATGCTGGATAAAAAATAAAGAGTTCTCTGCGGGGAATGGGGAAATAGTATTTTTGCCTGTTGGTTGGAAACCTACAAAGAAGACCTAATGCTCTGACAGATGTTAGCTTGACTTCGAAACCTACTAGAACATATCTTTTGGGGGGAACAAGAGATCTGCTAATTGCTTAACCACATGGATTGGATTTCATATTGCAGGTAAAGGCTGGTTCAGTTTTTGACAACGTATTGATTGGTGATGACCCACTCTATGCAAGACAAGTTGTAGAAGATATGTTGGCCAAGAATAGGGGGGTGAGTTGTTACCTTTCAGACGCTATACTTATTTTTAATTGAAGTGTCTAACTAGCTAAGTGATTTGCATGAAAAATTTCAGGCTGAAAAGGAGGCCTTTGAAGAAGCAGAGAAAGAAAGAAGAGCTCGGGAAGAGGAGGTTGTTAGCCCAATAGCTTGGGGCTTTGAATCTGATTTTAGCTGTATTCTTTCTGAATATTTGTTAAAGTCTTTGAATGGCTCTATTTATGCAGGAAGCTAAAAGGGCTAGAAAGGAGGGTGAAAGGAGGAGAAAAGAGAGGGACCACCGATATGGAGACAGGATGAAGTACCGAAGAAGGGTATCTTTTTTGGTCTTCTTTGTTTATTTTTCTCTAAAACTATTTTTTTTCTTTGCGAATTTATTTAATCAACAAAAAACCAATGATACATTGCTTGTTTATTGTTCAAGATGTTTTTTGGGAAGTGAGAGTTTTAATCATAAATAAGCCAAGACTATGGTAATTTTAGTTGCTTTTTTTACCAGTAGCTGTGCCCTGGGCTGCATATCTTAAGTTGCAAAAAGTTCTTGACAGCTTGTAACTGCTTTGCTTCTGTTTAATGGGTTCTGATTGAATGTTTATATCCCAATGAATTGGAAGAAAGCATTTCTAATCTAGGTTGCTTAGAAAGATAATGGCGACAGATGCAATCACGGGTTAGTTTGAAGAGTGAGGTTGTCATTGTTGCACCGTGTTAGAAAGAGAGGTCTCTTTAAGTGCAAAACTGTTGGACTGTGATTTAGATTATTACAATTTAGGTTTCTTTGTACAAACAAAAAAATTATTTAGTTTTTGTTCCATCTTGTCCTAGCTGCAAGTTTAATGGCTTTTTTTTTTTTTTGCAGCATGATCACCGCGATTATCTGGATGATTACCATGTAAGTGCATTTACATTTTTGTTTCCTTTCAATAATTTCCATTTATGAAATCATTTATTCATTTGAGCTTTTCTCTAAATAAATCAAACCAACATTAGTTAGGTTGCAATATTGGCTTCCCTTCCCCTTGTATAGATTATCGCAAATATTCAGAAATATGTTGTATCCTTGCATTTAAGATTGCACAATCATAGCTTTTGCATGAACTAGCTGGTATAACTTTGGCCCCACTTGGATCTTGCGATGGATTCGTAGTTTTGCCTATTATTGTTCAATGGATTCTTCTCGGGCATGAAGTAGCACCAAAAAAATTTTTGATCTAACTCGAAAGCATTCCAACCAAACTTCTAACCTACCCTTGATTCTTCTTTCCTTAACCTGCAGGATGAACTATGAGGGTTCTTGCCTGCTATTTCAAGAATTTTAAGATTCACTTAAATAAGGAAAAAGAAAAAATAGAAGCAAGCTGCCACCTTGAGAGAGGTACCATTTTTATCTTTGTCCGAAGCATGTCCAGTCTCACTTATTGTTGTTGTTGTTGTTGTTGTAAAACATTATTGTTGTACTAATAAGAATCCCTAAGCTGAAACTACTAATTCAAATGTATGGATGCTTAATTTTGCTGAAAAATTGTGGAGCTTGAAGAAGCATGCAGTTATTCTTATACTTTGCATCAGCATTCAACTTATAAATAGTAGTTTTAAATGAGGTTGTGAATCCAAGCAAGATCGTGTAATAACGTATGAAATTTATCCTTTGCATTTGCATTAATTAGGAGTGTACACAAATAAAACATGTTCGATATTTATTTATTTATATTTGTTCGTTAAGTTTAACATACAATCACGAATAATGTTTTAAGATTCATCAATTAAACAAATAAATTATGAATATAGTAAAATTTATTCATATTTAATTCATTTGTGAAGATGTATTAAATGTTCGATGAATGGTCTAGGAACATGTTAGGTTTGGTTTTGGTTTGTTAATTAAGCTTTTCAAATAATCACAATTGACATTTCATAATTTATTAATTAAATAAATAAATTATAAGTATAATTATATTCGTTCATGTTTTATTTATTTATATTTTGGCTAAATCATTTGCCTTGTTGCACCCCAATTAGTACTTTCATAAACTTCATCCAGAATTTAGTACACCTTTTGGTTGCCTTGTTGCCATCCCAATTAGTACCTTCTTAACTTCGTCCAGAATGTTGTAAACTATTTGGTTTGATTGTGAAATTTAAATATCAAAGACTATTAAATATTTATTTACTTTTTTTTATATTGAAAATAAGAATTTAAATGTAATTTTTAATTTAGTTGATTTTTATAATTATTTTTAAAATATGACATTAGTATTTTTAAATTTAAATTTTTATTTAAATTTTTTTTTATCTTCTTAAGTTTTATTGTGGTTTTTTATAAAGAAGAATATTTAAAATAAAAAGAAATAATTTTTTAGAAGCTTCAATTAAATGTGCAAGCATGTATAATTGATTATTACTACTAATTTAACGAGCATGGTTATCAAAATTGGGTCCGATCGGATGAATCGGTTAATCAATATTAAAATCGAATTAGTTCTATAATTAAATCAATTTTGCATTTAAATCATTATGAACCAATGATTTATGTAATAAATTAGTAAATCAAAGAGTTTTTTTAATCGTATTGGTTTAATATCAACTAATTAAGTAAAATATGAAAAAAAAAACCTTCAAGTATTCAAAATATTCTAATTAAACCTTTATACTACTATTTAATCTAAATAAACCCCCCAATTCCTATTTTTTATTATCAAAACCTTTGCATTGTTATATTAATGATATGTTGACATATTTTGACATATAGATAATAATATTATAAAAAAATTTATACACTTATAAAAAAAACAATTTTTAAAAAAAGATCTAACCAAAAATTTTTATTAATTGATACCATAATTAAAAATAATTATAAAAATAATAATATATAAAATTAATAAAAAAATAAAATGTTAATAAAAATAATTAATTATTTCATCATGATAGAAAATAATTTAAAAAAATGTATATATGTAAAATTACAAAAAAAATCTACATTCATATAAAAAATATAAAAATGATTTTAATTTTCTTTTTACTAATTTTCATATAAATATAAATATTTCCTTTTTATTAATTTTATATATAAATATTTCTTTTTTTATTACATAAAGATTAATGATTATATATTAATAAATAATATTTATATTTTAATAAATATAAAAATATTTATTTGTAATTATTTATTACTTATTAATTATTATATTTATTAAAATATGAATGTTATTTCTAATTATTAAAATATAAAATATTATTTTAATAAAATGTTAAGTAATTTCATTTCTACTAGTAATTAATTGTTCTATTAATTTTATATTTTAAAATTTACAATTTATGATATACATTAAAATTTATAATTTTATGGTTGAATTATTAAACTATAACTTTAGTTAAAAGTTTAATTTGAATTTTAAAATATTTAAATTTTTATAATATTTTTTATTAAATTGATAATTGACCCATTAATTTGATGGTTGAACCATTAAACGAATAACCCAAATCTCGAAAAGTTTAATATCTGATTCAATTCTAATAACTATGTTAATAAGTTTAGGTTTCCTTGGATCTATCAATATTTAATATATACATTCACTATTATCGTTCATATGTGTAAAATTAAATATAGCATGAACATGACAATGAAAATAAGTATTATTAAATTTTCAACATGATTTATGATAAAAAAACGTTTTATTTAATTTGATCTAAATCTTTAAATTGTATATCCTTTAAATTTCAATTTTTCTTTTAAATTATACAATTTAATCTTACTTTTTTGAAAAATAAAAATTTAATTTACTAATGAGATGTTGGCTTAGTAGTAAGCAATCTGACCCCAAACAGACTTTGTTTGTTAAAAATTACTATTATTTCACTTTATAAAATAATGACACCATTTAAAAAAAATCTTACAAAAAAAAAATAATTTACTTTAATAAAGTTTGTTTGTCAGAGACTGTAAGGGATCATTGATTTTATTATTTAAAACAAAAAAAAAAAGAGCTTAAATGAAACAATCGAAATGTTGAAGGATGAAACTAAACTTTTATGAAAATGATATGCGTTAAACTTGAAATTTAAATTTTTACTACTAAAAGAAGGCTTAAAAAATAAAATACGGTGGGGAGCCCATTTCAATGGCGGGTGTAGCTAACAATGTCCCCCAAAAGGTGACAGCAATCATGACACAAACATGGACAACTTTACTTCCACGTGTGATTCCATCAATGGATTTTGCGTCTTTAAATCCTCACGAGTCTGTAATTGTATCATCACCAGTATATGGTCAAAATTAAAATATTGAAATAAAGAAAAACGTTTCCTTGTATTCTATGTTCTATCAAATTCAAAGCGATGAGAATTAAAAAGGAGGGAAAATATAAAAGGAAAGGAAAAAAAAAATATTTATATTTTAATTTTCTTTCTTTTTTTATTCAACAAAAAATTTCTGTCACCAAAAAGCGAAAAATCTTTTAAAATAAATTTATAATTTTTTTCTCCATTACGCAAAAAATTTTATTTAATTTTTTCTTGACAAATAATTTTTATTTTTATAAAAAATCACAATATGTGAATAAAAAAATAATTATCATTTTTAAAAATAATTAAAAAAACTGAATTAAATTATGAATTTTTTTATTTTTACTAATAAAAAGTTTTTTTCAAAATTAGTTTATCATTTTCTCTTTCTTTATCTAAAAATCAATAAAGTTTTATTTTAATTTTCTTTCTCTTTTACACACAAAAAATCTTTCTTTTACAATTAATTTATCATTATTTTTTTCTCCTCCACAGACACAAAAATTTTTTTATTCAATTTTCTTTATTTTTTCTTACCTCAATCTTTCATTTAAAATTATTAATTTAATTTATTTTTTATTCTACCACACAAACACAAAATGAAAAACACTTTTATCGAGTGACAGCCAACAAAGATACACTTTCTCTCTCTGTAAAAAGAGAAACTTCCTCTAAAAGGAGAAGAGCCATTTTAGATAAGAGAAGTTGATATGCAAACGCTTGCTAAGGCTTCATCTGCTATGGCCTCCTTTCCTTGTTCTAAGGTTTGCTGCTTTCTTCCTTTTTCAGTTCCTTCATGGGTTTTTTTTCTGTCTTTTTTGTTTGCATGTTTGGCTTCTCTTCTGTTGAATTTGCATTTTTTTTGGAAGAGAAATGAAAATATAATGGTGAAGATCTGATTTTTTTTTGGATAATTTATAATTTTATTGCCTAAAACAGTTATTCACTGCTACCAATATACAACTCATATAATTTAATCTGACTTCTATACAAATATATCCCTTCTTAAACCCCATTTCTCACATAAATCTTTATTTACACTATCAAAAGGAATATTTTTCAGCCCCATCGAAGATCTGATTTTTTCTTGTACCCATTTCAGGAAAATGACAATTCTTGTTGTGGCTAATTGAGTGAATGGGTGTTTTTGGTTTGTTTTGTTTTGGTTTCCCTTTTCTTGTATTACCTCTTCCTCTGGCCTATATTTACTCTTGTTTTGCTTCGTGGGAAGTCTGAGTTTTGGCTTTTGTGATGTTTAATTTGTTTTATATTCCATTCTTAACTATCTTTTTGTACTTATGTTTTTTATCTTCCAAAATTGAGTCATGCTTTTCTATAGTTTTGCCTTGTAATAAAAATTGAAACTTGTATTGAGAAAGCAAGCAATTATTTTGTCACCACATGTTGATATGAATCTTGTATTGTCAACTTCATGGTCTATGCAAATGGGATGATTTTGTAATATAGGATTTTTGGTTGGTTGTAAAGAGTTTTAATCTTCTGAATTGCATGATATGAATCATTTCCTGCAAGTCATAGAATTAAAGGCTTCACTTTGATATGAACTTGTGACCTTTCTCTCTGTGCATTTGTTTCTATTGTATGTGGATATCCATGCGATGAATCATTTCAATGTAGAATATTGCTATGTATTCATGAAAAAAAAGATTGGTGGTTTACAATCTCAATGATAATTCCAAATCTTTTTATGTAATTTTGCATTATTATTTGCTATAGAGCTTCTCAAAAATCTGTTGATTGTTATTGAGGGAATTTTTTTTGAATACATGTTGGCTTATGGTATTTAAGTTTGAAAACCTGTTTTCTGATGTTTTAGGTGAGGAGTGGGCTCTGTGTGTGGCCAAGCATGAGGCAACTTTGCATAAGAAAAGGTCTTGTGTATGGCTTTATGCGGTTATTATCAACACCCTTCAAAACCTTGCGTGGAGCAAGTCGGTCTCTTAGAGTTGCAGAGTTTTGCAGTGTGTCTAACTTGTCTTCCTCATTACAAATTGAATTGGCGAGCACACCTCTTTCTATCTTTCTGTATTGAATGGTTTTAATCATTTTCACTTTTTTTATTTTGCTTGACTGTTTATTGGTTTTAACTCATAATTTTTCATTTGATATCATTTCAACCTTGTTGGTTCCATACTGTATTTTGTTTTTATGTTGGATGTCTGGCCATTTTTAATAAGAATGCCATCAACGTTGGGTTTTTTAGTGAAGTTGCTGTGATTCACATTTTTTTGGGGAAAAGAGAGGGGGGTTTTTAAATATAGAGGAATGTTATGTGGCCCTAAGTGGTGTAAAAAATGTGGTCTAGTAACCATTGCCCCCTCTTTTGCTGATAATTCGAAATAAGGGATTCAGGGTCTTCTTTAGCGTTCGCCGCCCACTGTTTCATTCACTTATTACATGGTAATAGTGCAAACTGCAAAGAAACTGACTGATGCATACAGCCTAGAATTTTGTCCAGAGAATTTGTTGGTTAGTGGGGGCCAAACTTCCTTCAGCTGTCAACTTTTAACTAGCTGATGTTGCACCAGATATTTTTTGCACCCTTCTTGTTGCATGAGGTCAATTATCATGACATTGAATTTGCACAATGCAGTTACAAGTCAATGAGGTAAATGTGGAAGAATCATGCTTTTTATTGTCACACCCGATTGGTGTCAATGGGCCCTTGCAAAAGTAGCCTGATTCCTTTAATGATTGAGAGCTATAATTTCGTAAACAGAGCTGAAAGGAATTATAGTTGCCTTCTTTGAGGAACAAAGACCCTGAAATGTATTACTCTTAGTTTTGAGCTGAAAGAATGATATTGAATCTTCTGTTGGAATAACTTTGTTCAAGCTTATAACTTGAAGAAAGAGTTCTTCGATTTTTTGTTGTTGAAGGTTATAATAACTGGATTTCATTTACGTTACCCATATATTAGATATGAACTTTTCACTAACTGTTTTGTTTTTTTAGGTACCGTGTCTCAGAGACAATTATGCATATCTTTTACATGATGTGGACACAGGCACAGTTGGAGTTGTTGATCCTTCAGAAGCTGTGCCAATTATTGATGCTTTGAGTCGGAAAAACCGGAATTTGACTTATATATTGAATACTCACCACCATCATGATCACACGGGTGGGAATGTTGAGTTAAAAGCAAGGTATGGTGCAAAGGTATGAAAATGACATCTTCTAGTAACCTTTCTGTCACCTTTTGAGCTCATATCCGTTAAGTTCCTCTTGAATCACAACTCATAAATGGAGAACTAGCTGAAGTCTGGTAGGGCCTTTGCATCTTGCTCATAATGATGGGTATTAATTGTTCATAGGGTCTTCTTTGTCCGAGATTGTTAGTTTGCAGTGCATGTGGAAGTGGAGCTGAGGCATGTGTTAAGTCCCATGCGTGGCACCGAGAATAAGGCTCAAGCACCAAGTCTGGGCTGTGAATCGAGCCTAGGTGGTTCTAGAAGGTTTCGTGCCTGGTTCTTGTTGGAGGTGCCCCTTTGCATGTTCTAAGGCTTGATCCCACACCTTGACCTGGTGCCTGAGCCTTAGTCTCAGTGGTGCACGTGTGGGACAACACATGCTTGCTCTTCTTTGCCCCTTTTTAAATAAAGCTTCTACTTCTTTGAGGAATGCTTTTTTTTCTAATTTTTTTGCAAACAGTTCCAGACAATGACATGTATAAGAAGAGCAATGACCTATATAATAATGATATAATAATTGTTCTTTTTCATATAGGTGATTGGTTCAGGAATAGACAAGGATAGAATTCCTGGAATTGATATTGTTCTAAATGATGGGGACACGTGGATGTTTGCAGGTCATGAGGTGCATGTCATCGAAACTCCTGGTCATACCCGAGGTAAGATTCAATAGCCAACACCATAAAAAATTGCTTGAATTAGATACTTTCTATTATTTCAAAATTTAATGAAAGAATACTTGAGTAGAAAAGTCATTATCTTCTCATTCTCCTTTCTTTATTATTATAATTCAATTGAATTTTTTCACATGCAGGCCATATTAGCTTCTACTTTCCGGGTTCTGGAGCAATATTTACTGGAGACACTTTGTTCAGCTTATCATGTGGCAAGCTTTTTGAAGGAACCCCGGAGCAGGTAGGTAATTTGGCTTCTATGTTTTATAATCTGGCAAATCTTCTTCATTGTTCTTTATACTATCTTAATGTCTGAAATCTATCCGGCAGATGCTTTCTTCCCTTCAGAGGATCATGTCGCTGCCTGATGATACAAATATATATTGTGGTCATGAATATACTTTGGTTAGTCTATTTATCTTTTGGAGCCAACCAATTAATTTTCCCATGCTCGTAATTCTGAAAGGGACTAACCATTTATGTACCCATTTTGGCAGAGTAATTCTAAGTTTGCATTATCCATAGAACCCAAGAATGAGGTGCTTCAGGCTTATGCAGTCCATATAGCTCACCTTCGCAACAAGGGATTGCCTACGGTAATTTCTGAGATTTTCTTTAATATCTAGAACCTTTTAGGAGGTATAATGTCAAAATTCTTGGATTAGATCATGAAATTTATCTCAGATGACCATTATTTTTTTGACTGAGCTAAGGGTCATTTGTTCACTGTATATTTTTTATGCATAAATGTAATGGCTTTTGCACTTGCTCTCTATACATCTGCATGCATGTGCTAAGGACTTCAACACAACATTGTTTGTGTGAGTGTAGCTGATCTGCTTACATGTTTGATTGATAATAATAGTTCTTGAATCATATGGTTTTTTTGTTGTCTTTCAAGTAGGACTGTCTGTCGGTTCAGCACTCACCTACTTAGATCAGGTTGTTTAGAGATAGTCTGATAGTCTACATTTTGTGATTTTGGTATGAGCTATTCCCCTAATGATTTGGCTGTGTAGTGTGTACATCATTTTTCTTGATTCAACAATATATGAAACTGCATCCAGGGCTGTGGCTTGATTTGATCCTTTGCCTGATGTAGCATTTTTAATCTAAATATTGCATGATAAGTTGACTATGATCAGTGTGCTGTTTCAGATCCCAACCACATTAAAGATGGAGAAGGCATGCAATCCCTTCCTTCGGACATCTAGTACAGAAATCAGGCAGGCATTAGATATTCCAGCCACCGCGAATGAGGCAGAAGTCTTGGGTGTCATCCGCCAAGCAAAGGATAATTTCTAGGATTAGTTATACTTGTTTTCAGTTGGTTGTGTATAGGTGATGATGTTAGGACTTAAATTTGTTAAATAAACACTACAAAACGTTCATCATGTCCATATGCTTTTTTGATTTTTCAAAGCTATTTCGAAATTTAATTCTCCTAAGCTAATGTGATCAACATATAATGTATGATTTTCTTATTGATCAAGAAAACTTTGTTTTTTTTTTTTTTTTCGTAAATATATTTGAGACATTATCTTGTAACATTTTGACTGAGGGTGAGATTTATGGAGAAAACGAAGAGCCTTGGAATCTTTTTAACAAAGATGAAAATAAATCTTTCTGGGTTTTCACCAAGTTGAAGAAAAAGAGTAAATCGAGGATTGATAAGAATGCAGGACGCGGATGTTGGCTTGGCCGAAGCACCAAAAATGTAAAGAATGCAAGTGGTCAGCTGTTAGGGTTGGACAAATGCTTCTCGTTTGCATGCAAGAAAGGTAAGTCAAGCCAAGGCAATGGCAAGTGAATTATGCATGAGTATTCTTTAATGGATGAGGGTTTCAGTGACTACGTCATTTGTGAGATTACGAATAAAGATGTTGCTGATCGTGGAGAAGACGAAGAAGAACCCAAGAACAAGAAGCGTAAAATGCTTGAGGTTAACGATGAAGAGGCGTCAGCTCCAACCATGAAGAAAGGAAACGGGGTGAAGACCCCACCACACAAATACACTAATTCCCGAATATATTTGTACAATTTTTTCTCCCATTTCTCCTATCAGCTAGATCTCCTCTTCTGAATCAAAAGATTGCTCTAATAATCCTTCCATAAAACTAAATGAAATCCTATCTAAATGATTGTCAAGCGAATAACGCATACTGGTTTCAATTCTATTTGACCTTGCTTTTGAGAACAACAAATTAAACCCTAAGCAACCTAGATTCGATTCAACTTACCTACAAATTTTCCTTCCCTAAAGCTTTCTTTCAACCAAATGGGTGAAACTCCTGCATCATAGCAAACATTAACAGATCATCAATGTAAAATGTTTAGGGGCTAAAGACCATAGATTGGTTTAAAAAACAGAAATGTTTACCTATGATATTTTAAGCTTTTGCATACGTTTTGGAGACGGAGCTTCTGAAACCATTTGGATCAGAGTACAGACTAGAAAGAGACGATCAAAGAGCTCTTTATGTTCTTGGCGCCATTTTTTTGTGGATTTGAATTTCAATTGGGAGGCTATTTCTGTAATTACAGTAAATTTTAAGTCGTTCTTTTGGTGCTAAAAGTTTGCAATCAATAATATATGAAGCACGTGCGAGCTATGATATTTTTATTTCCAAAAAAATTGCTAAAAACTAAAAAGGAAAGCCAAACATAGAAAATTAAATAAAAAAATATTGTAAACATCTAATTTATATATTCAAATAAATAATTATGCATAAGTTAAATTATGCCAAAGATTCCTTTGGTGTGTCATAATTTATTGAATTTTTATATTAAAAAACTATATTTCTAATTTAATATTAGTTTAGGGATTAAATTTTAAATTTTATTTGAGTATAGAAATTATTTGTATAATTTAATATTTAATTTTAAATTAATCAAATTATCATATCAACAAATCAATACTATGTCAACAAAATTAATACCCACGTCATCAAGTTAATAATCACATCAACATTTTTAATGTTAAAAATTTAACAAAATTAGTAATTAAATTAAAATTACCATATCAAAATAATATAAAAATTATATTTATATGAATTATAATATATAAATTTTAAATTTTCACAAAGCATAGACACCTATGACATAATTTGACCTTAACCATATAATGGATTTAGTAGGTATCAAGAAATTAGATGGTCCACGTCATTCTTCTTTTTTCATGTTTTTTTTTTTAATTTAGTTTTTTAGAAATTTAGAATTTTGGTTAAATTTATTTTGTAAAAAAATAATTTAAGTGATTATGACAAGATAACTCATATTCAATAATTTTAATTCATCTTAATCTAATAAATATATTTATTTTATTGGATGTTGGATTGCATTTTATTTATTTTGAAATTGGGGTGAGAAAGTAGCAAGTTTAAGTTTATGTTTGGATTGAGGTAAGGGAAGAAAAGGAAAGGAATTAAAAAGAAACAAAAAGAAATAGGAAATATTTTTCTTTGTTTGTATATGACATAAATAAAAAAAAAAAAAGGGATGTTTATCTCCTCTTAATTTCCTTTAACTTTTTTCATTTTTTAATTATCCTAAATTGGGAGAAAAGGAAGGGAAAGGAAAAGAATAAAATTTTTAAAATATAAAATAATTATTATATCTTTATTAATTTTTCTAAATTAAAAGTGTATGATTTGAAATCTAGAATCATATTGAGAATTATAAACATCATTTACCAATAAATTTATTATCTCCAATCTTTTTCTCTTATTTTTATAAATTTCATAAATTTTATTAATGACTATTTCTATGACGAAATAAAAGAAAATTAAAAATATGGAATGCGTTAACATAAATATGTAAATATTATAGTAAAAATAAAATTATCAAATGTTATAATCGAAAAAATAATATAATAAATCATTTCATTTCCTTTCCATTATTTAACTAAACAATGATTGTTAGAATTATTTTATTTTTTTTTATTAATTTTGTCTATCAAAACAAATGGTACATATATCTTTTACTTTCTTTTAAAAAGCCTTCCATTCTTTTCCTTTACTTTTCTTTCTTTTACTAATATTTATTCAAACATGATATAAAGTATAAGACACAAAACATATGTGTTCAATTAATTTTAATTCACTTCGATCAATTAAATGTTTTTTTAAAAATTATGAGATTGGGCTTTTTAAAAATAATTAGATGCAATTCAGAAAAGATCAAGTTATGATGTAAGTATATATATAAATTATATAAATTATTTTTTTATTTATACTTTAATTTGATTAAAAAAATTTATATTTATGCATATATATGTTGTATTAAAAATTATAATTTAATTTCTTGATTTTGCAAAAAAAAAAAATTGAAATACAATATATGCAATTAATCTTTTTTATGTTTTAAGACAAATTAAATTGTTTTATAAAGCAACTACAAAATTTTTTAACCTTTTATCGATTTTTGTACTTATTACATTAAGTTATGAGACTTTGACTTCATAAAAGAAAAAAAAAAAACTTATTTTGTTTCATTGATAAAAATTATGACATAGGATTGGTGAAAGCAGTTGGTGAGAAATAAATTTATAATAAGATTTTGCTATTTGCTTTGTTTTTTCAATACATGATTTTTTTTTAAATATATTGAAAATTAAAAAAAATTGATTAAATGAAAATATATAGATTAAGTTTGCAATGGGATTTTTTTAAAAACTAGTTTTATTTCACGTGATTGTTAACCAAATTATAAGTATAATATAATATCATAATTTTGATATTTTATAATAATAAAATTGAAATAATTATCATCATACTAAATTAAATTAAAAATGTAAATTTAAGTTTTAAAAAATAAATATAACAAAAAATTAAAATTAAAATTCCAATGAAAATAAATATTTAATTTTTTTTTATTTTGATTCTTTTTAGAAGTTTTCTTTTAAGTCTTCTAGTGTTAAGTCATCATTTTCATTCTTTTTTTATATTTTTCTTTTTTAAAAATTTTTTCAACGATAAAAGATTATCTTCTATTATAATCAAATTGGATGTTGTACTTTTCCTTTTCTTTATTTTATGTTTTTTCTAGAGCTTTTTAAAGCTTTTCAAGTGGTGGATTTTTATCTTCAATTTAATAAATTTTTTAGGCAATTGATCATTGCCGAATTCATTCAAACTATTACTTTTTATCTATTGATTATTGAAAATTTAAATTCGTTACTTTGATTTGAAACCAAATTGTTATAAAGTTTTTGTTACTTGAAATAAAGTAAATATATAATTTTGTTTCATTACTAACTTTTGTTTTTAACATGTACTTATTTATGTAATATAAATTATTTTGTAATTTCATTTTATGGTAAAAAATGCATACTTACATGAATTTTACTAATTAAAAATATTAATTTGTAAACATATTCCAAAAAAAGGATATGAAGTAATAAAAAATTATCAGTATCTCGATGTAATAATTAATGATGTTTATTTATGTATTTATAAGAGATATTGACTAAAACTACTTTTAGTATCGAATACTGATTTCTTAAAAAATAATTAAATATACAAAACTTACTAAAATATGTTATACTAAAAGTTTAAATGACAAACTTTACTTAAAGGACTAAAATATGTTATACTAAGAGTTTAAATGACAAACTTTACTTAAAGGTATACTTTATCCAAATCAAATAGTTTTTTATGTTGTTCTTTAAATATTCAAATACTTTTTTCAATTAACTTTGGTTCAATATTATTATTGTTTGTTAAATAATGAAATATCATAATTTTAAAATTAATAAGCTATGATCTAGTTTAGACAAATATCGAAAGATATATTTTAAAGGTAAACTATGTTTTAAATCTTAGACTTTAAAATTGATAGTGAATATATTTTTAATATTTGAACTCTTTTTTAATTAAAATGGAGTAATTTCATTATTCGATAAACACTTAATTATATATCAAGTATAACTCATACAAAAAATTCATCATTTAAACAATATTGTTTTAAAATTATAATTTATAGAATTCACACTACTATTAGTATTATTAGATCATATGCTTTAATTTAAAATATTATGTACTTGAGAAAATAACTAATAGGTAATTTTTCTATGGTGTTTTCCAATAAATTTAGACTCATTATTTTTTTTTTCATTTTAAAAATATCTTTAAAGACAATAATTTTTTGTATAATTGCTATCAATGTTATAAATGATACCATAAAACAAAATAATTTATTTTAGTAAAGATATAGCATTAATCTAGTTACTATTAACATATTATCAAATAGATAATCAATGGCATACAAATATAGATAAAGTTATTCAAAATTTTCACTTCAAAATTTGATTTTTTTTAATAAAAATATGTTGTTATAGTAATTGGTACATGAATATTGTTTTAATTATGTATATATGTGTATAATATTCACAAATATTGTAACTCAATACCTTAGTATTAAATGGCAATTAGTATAATTTCTTAAATGAATTAAATATGTTAGACATATTAAAAAATATAGCTGTATATCAAT